TACATCAATTAAGTACAGTGATGTAGTATCTCCATCAATTTAGTACAGTGATGTAGCATCTACATCAATTAAGTACAGTGATGTAGTATCTACTTCAATTTAGTACAGTGATGTAGTATCTACATCAATTTAGTACAGTGATGTATCTACATCAATTTAGTACAGTGATGTATCTACATCAATTTAGTACAGTGATGTATCTACATCAATTAAGTACAGTGATGTAGGATCTACATCAATTAAGTACAGTGATGTAGTATCTACTTCAATTTAGTACAGTGATGTAGTATCTACATCAGATTAGTACAGTGATGTAGTATCTACATCAATTAAGTACAGTGATGTAGCATCTACATCAATTAAGTACAGTGATGTAGTATCTAGCAGCACTATTCTGATAATCTAAATATAAAACTTCATCTACATCAATTAAGTACAGTGATTTATCACATACCTTGAATCTTTTTATAGTAATTTTCAGACCATGAAATACAGCGTTCTGTATTGCACATGTGCAATACGGAATGTTGTATTTACCTACTAGCCGGAACTACTTTTTATGGGAATCCCCTTGTCATGGCGAACTGAAAAGTTCCTGGTATTTGCAAAAAATATCAAAGTTTATGAAATCTTTGTATCGATCTCTACACCAAATATGGAAGGTATGTGTTAAAAGCAAGACCACACACTTGTGTTTTTCTAACGAATCAGAAAGCACTCATTTATTGCACAGACGTATATATTCGTCCGCGTAATAAACTTGTGCTTTCCGATTCGTAAGAAAAACACAAGTGTGTGGTCTTGCATATGTAGTATCTAGCTGCACTGTTCTGATAATCTAAATATAAACCTTCATCTTCATCAATTTAGTACAGTGATGTAGCATCTAGCTTCACTTTTGTATATTGATGAGTTTTATTTTAGCTCATTAACCCCTGCAGATACATTTGAACTCTTCCAATTCAAAGGTTAGAATAGTTCATTATGAAATTTCAGGGGTGAATGGGTTAAGCAAAACTACATTTTACAGTAGACAGTAGAATTGCTTGCCAGGTGACTAGAGAAATGACGGTACTAGGTTGATCTTGAGGCCTCAGTACTAATTACCGCGGACATCAGGCAAGCCAGCAGTACTAATTACCGCGGACATCAGGCAAGCCAGCAGCAGCACTCATCCATCATGTATGTATGGAAAATATTTGACATTGACAAAAAATCGTTTAGGTAATAAAAATAAACTGGAACATTGCTACGTACATTATGGTAATTTGAAATGCTATTATTTTTACCGATCCCCGGAAAGAATTACCAATATATGGAACATGAATGATGTACATTTCCTGATCGTAGCCAAGATTAATATTTACTGTTTCACAGAAATGGAGATTTGAGGGTGACGATGAAACTTGAGAATGAATGTGTTTTGGGCTGTATTCCTTGAAATGAAGCTAGCACCTCGCTCAATAGAATCTCGTACATATAGCTATAGCTGTTGGATTTCAATCGTCGTCAAATTCTGTGCCAAGTCATGTAAACAATTATGGTCCTGTTTCTGCTCAGATCTGTTGTATGATTGGCCACATGCATGATTAAGTGTAGACTTTGCTTTGTGTGACCAGGCTTCATCTTGTACAGTCCGTGCTTTTCACTTTTCACATATTGAATTATTTGAGAAATTGTTCAATTCATGTTCGGCTAAGACAGCAAGGGTTAATGTTGTTGTTGAATAAATATCACTCCCTTATCTATAAATCTATAATTATCCATTAGGTATCCACGCTAATCTTCTAATGTGTCTTCTCTGTATATTACCTATCATATAGAAGACTGTTAATGTGGTTCTGGTTGTATTGGTCCAGAACAACACATAAATCATAGCATATACTTCGGATTATATCAGCCTCGATGGGAGATACTCAATTCAGATATAGAAATGGGACGAACAGTTGAGCATGGCTGGGCCATTACGTAAAAGCACAGATAGATAGGAGAACCAGTGACAGGTATTGGTACAGACATGTTGATTGGCTGACTTCAGCTCGCCCATGGTCTGATAGCAGCCGATACTATCACAGACTCAGAGTCCCTATATGTTATTTGTTGGTTGATTTTGTGATGAGAAGATCGGTGATGATAATTTGTGTGGGAACCTCCCTTCTGTAGATACGAACCAAAACACTGTGTCTGCACTCCACAACAGCGTTTCACCAACAGTTGTTTTAAGTCATTTTTTTTTTTCGCATTGCTGGTGACAATGTTGGTGTTAATCTATTTCCATAGTTCTACCTTAAAATGAGATCCCAGAATGATCGCCTTGGGCCTAGCTGTTAACAGATAAAAAATGTAATGTTGCCTCTATTTCATTTGGTGTAGCATTTTTATCTGGGATCTGACATTTAACAGTGTCACATGTGGGCAAGCCAATATGTCTCTGCCTCAGAAAGGGTTTATTGTTTGTTTCCATTTCAAATTGATTCTTGTATCAGACTTCATGTAGCCAATTCCCAGTTTAATTTTCCTTGTGAGGCTGAAAAAGTCTTACATTGTGTTCTCTCCTATGTATTTTGTTAAAGATAATATACTTATTTTAATCAAAAGAAATGAGTTGCAGAAATGATATAATACAAACTGATGACGGTGATAAATCAGTGTCTACCTGGCTAAACAATGTTTATGGCTGTATGGAATCTGAGGAATAACATTTTTTTTTTAAGAAAAAACTTGATTCATTGGAGAATGGAAACATACATGTTACAGGTAAAACAGCTCTTCTATAAAAGCAGAAGCTGAAGAAAAAAAAAGAAGAAAAAAAAAAATGTACACAACTACCTGTTAAATAAAAACACTACCTGTCAGAAATATACCTGTAAGACAAATGTCTGTAAACATAACGCTCGTAAGCCATATACCTGTGAAAAAAACGTAAAATAAATTACCTGTGCATTCTAATTCAGTGAAAAGGTGTGATAAATAAGCCATGATAGTTGTTGGTAATATTTCATTTCTGTGGTATGTAGTGGGCTGGAGGATCATTTCTGTGGTATGTAGTGGGCTAGCTAGAGGAAAAAAGGTACTAAAATACAATGGTAGACTAAGGTGTAATGGTGGAAATGATGAAAACATGGACAAGAGATAATGGTTTTAACTCTAAAATACAATGGTAGACTAAGGTGTAATAGTATACAGTTATAGAATGGGTATTGGGTATGAGGGAAATAGCACATTTATGGTCCCCCGAGGTAAAAAACTATTTCCCTCGCCAACCGAATCAACAGAAACTATTTGCACCAAGGAACCAAATTTTCTGTTGTATACAGAGTGTGAGAGTTTTCGTATAGACAGGGGAAGTTGTACTTTGGCAGTGAGAGTCATCGTATAGACAGGGGGAGTTGTACTTAGGCATTTGGAGTCATGTATGTTTTTAAGACAGTGGAAGTTGTACTAGGCAGTGAGAGTCATGGTATAGACAGAGGAAGTTGTACTAGGCAGTGAGAGTCATGGGATAGACAGAGGGAGTTGTACTAGGCAGTGAGCGTCATGGTATAGACAGTGGGAGTTGTACTAGGCAGTGAGAGACATGGTATAGACAGAGGGAGGTGTACTAGGCAGTGAGAGTCATGGGATAGACAGAGGGAGTTGTACTAGGCAGTGAGCGTCATGGTATAGACAGTGGGAGTTGTACTAGGCAGTGAGAGTCATGGGAGAGACAGAGGGAGTTGTACTAGGCAGTGAGAGACATGGTATAGACAGAGGGAGTTGTGCTTAGGCATTTGGAGTCATGTATGCTTTTAAGACAGTGGAAGTTGTACTTTGACTGTAAGAGTCATGCTTTAGGCAGTGGGAGTTGTACTTGGGCATTTGAAGTCATGTATGCTTTAGGCAGTGGGAGTTGTACTTAAGCAGTGGGAGTCATGCTTTATGCATAGGGACTTCAGACAGTTAACACAGTTCCTTGGCAGACGTCGTCTTCCTTGAGCCTGCAGTGTGTAACAAGCATCGGTTGTACATGATATAGGCACTATGATAAACTGCGATCATTATCAATTTCCAACATGAAAATTCAATAGAAAAAAAAAGATTTATGAGCAGATGAATGTACTTGTTATCTTTCATCAATTAGTCGGTACACATCCTCCTGATATTAATGTTCCGCGAGGAATGTTTGACTCCTTTGTTAGTTAAATGCAATTACAACTAATTCATTACATCACTCATCACACACAGGCATAGCACATTTGTCACATTTTATAATTATGAACTATATTATGAACGTTTTGTCTTGTTCATCAGCATAACGTTGTGACAGTATAACACAGTTGTGGGATCACTCAACGTTACGTGATGTTGCCAAGCTAACCATGTGGTTGACGTAAATGTAGGAATGGCTTATGAATTAGTGTAATGTGTTTTAAACCTACGTATTGCCTGATTTAAAAAAATTATTTTGCCATGCTTTAGCAAGATCTATCAGCTTACTTGTTGTTGGTTTTTTTTTAAATTTAAAAACATATTTTCAAAGTTCTTTTTATCCTCTTGGAGACCGTTTAATGAAGCATTTTTAATGGTTTACTGGTAATATCATAAATATTTAATGCAGCTTTACATTATACCAGCGGTATTTATAACCATTTATAAAGCGCTTAATAATGGTTGTACTATAGTGATAAAATTAGCTTTCAATGGGAAACTGATGAAGGTAATTGTACTAAGTAATTAATATAATTATTTTTTAATGTGAAACTAATAATGGTTGAGCTAGTGAATAAACTAGCTTTCAATGTGAAAGTGATAAAGGTTGTACTGCCAGTATGGGCATCAAAACCAGTACAGAACATCGATTGGACGGGGTATATATCGTTAAGGACATTATCAAATGTGAGGGTTTCTTGACGTCAAAAACCTGGTTAGATGTAATAGATGTTGTGTTAAACAAATTGGATGTGAAAGCTTAAAGTTTGTACGCATACACAGGACGGTATAGGCCCAGCAAGCTGCTGCTGAGGCTGAGAGCATCGCTCAAGTAGTGCTAGACGTGTCCTGCCTTATACTACAGCTGAAAATTGACTCAGCCATTCGCTGAGGCTTCCTCGCAACAGCATCCTGTACGAGAGGCTTGCATCTGTCACAGAAGCATGTTAGCTGTAGCAAGCATCAAGAGGGCCAATACTTAACAGATCCATTCTCTCACTGATGGATATAAGCTATCGTTGAGTTAACAATATCGGCGAGAAGCTTAATTTTGACTTAATAACTTGTGGACATTACACTAACAACGGGATTCAATCAGGTGTGACGTGTTGAAGTGATCTGGCCAGGTAAGAGTGGCTCCTCCACATCACAGCAGAAAAAAGTATTTTCTGCTTGAAGATTTTAAATTGCTAGGAATCACAGAATTTAAATGTTAATTCATTCATTCCATTAAATCCTTTTCATGATAGTGGAGTTCACTTTTGTTAAGAATAAGGTTTTTACATTGGATTTGGATTGCACATGGCTCCGCTTTTGTACACGTTTCCTGTTAAAGGCTGCAGATGTCAGCCACAAAAATGTAGTATGCAGTGTAAGAATACAAAAATGTGCTTATTTTGAAAAGAGATGTTTTCCTGCATGCAAGCCATGTTTTATAACCAAAAATAACACCTAACAGTCTTTGTATTTGATTTGATGGGTACACACTCTGGGGGGGTTATGTGGAGGGGATTCTGTGGATCCAACTATATACAAGTATCACAACTCGCATGGGACTACATTTTGAACAAAATTAATTGCTAAAGAAAAAAGTGAAATTCAGAATTTCAGGTTTTGATTGAAACACATTTTTCATCCATTGATATTCAAATGACACTTACATAATAATAATGTGATGTCGCATTTTACTCAGAAGTATATTGTGATGGCACATGTAATAGGAAGTATAATTATGTCACTTAAAGCTAAAATACAATTGTGATGTAAGGTGTACTAGAGTTTAATTGTGACATATAAATAATTTGTAATTTAAAGTTAAATTGTAATGTAACAATTACTTTTAAGAATAATTGTAATATTTATAATCAGACCTATATAATAATGTCTCTTGATCTTAGAAGTATAATTATAATGTCAGGTGTACCGAGAAGTATAACTATAATGTCAGGTGTACCTAGAAGTATAATTATAATGTCAGGTGTACCTAGAGGTATAATTATAATGTCAAGTGTACCTAGACGTATAATTATAATGTCAGGTGTACCTAGAAGTATAATTATAATGTCTGGTGTACCTAGAAGTATACAATGTAACTATAATGTCAGGTATACCTAGAAGTATAATTATAATGTCAGGTGTACCTAGAGGTATAATTATAATGTCA